TTTTTTTTCATAAACGGTGTTTGCTGTTGAATGCCTAGCGCTTGATCCAATCGAATGATGATAGTGGTGCGATGCACCGAGCAGATGCTCTTTTTGCTCTTTTTACCTGTCAATGTCAAGGTTGTCGACCAGTCTCTCTTTCTCAGAATGAGAGTGACTGGAACGTTAAGCGTTTCAGGTGTTTCATTGCATGTGACACAGATGTTTGCAGATGTTATCCGCAGTTCAGCGAACAAGCAAAAAGAACATCTGCTTATAAAAAAAATACAACTGTTTAGTGCCTCAGTTTTTTGCGCAACAGTGAAAAAATTCAGTGCAGAGAAGGTGCAACGAAGACGAATCGAAGCAGACTCAGGATAGTAGTGATCATTTGCCTGCCAGCCACCGACCCGAAAAGAGATCACTAGAAAAAAAGATTCAAGAAAAAAGAAGATATTTTCAAACTTTTTGAAATCAAAGTTGGAAGGATGAAGGCACCTCTGCACCTACTCATTCTGGGCGCCCTCCTCTGCGGCGCCCTCCTCCCGGCGACCGCCAACGGCCAGCTGGACTTTCTCCGAGAGTGGTTCGGCGACCTCTTTGGCCTTTCCTCTGACTCCTCATCATCATCACCACCTCCAACAGACGAGGATCCCCACGTCTCCTCCTCCTCGATTGACTCCCGAGAGATTGAGGAGCAGGTCAGCTCGGTGCTGTGGGGGTTGGACGGGCGACTGGGNCTGGACTTTCTCCGAGAGTGGTTCGGCGACCTCTTTGGCCTTTCCTCTGACTCCTCATCATCATCACCACCTCCAACAGACGAGGATCCCCACGTCTCCTCCTCCTCGATTGACTCTCGAGAGATTGAGGAGCAGGTCAGCTCGGTGCTGTGGGGCCTGGACGGGCGACTGGAGGAGCTGCTGCGCGACATGGGCAACTTTACCCGCCCACTCTCTGAGGTCTCCTCCTGGTGCTACGAACCGTCGCTTGGCGGAGAAAGAGGAGAAGGAACGGCGTCAGGCTCATCGGAGATGATGATGAACATCTTTAACGGCTCGGCCCGCTTCCGGACAGTGGCCGTCGACTACTATGTAAGTCGGGAGAAGTTTTGTTTTTTCACTTGATGATGATAACTTTTCCCGTGGTCATTGTTTACTCTTCTTCCCCTAGCACGCCTTCCCCCATAAGGAGATCACCCACCAGCGACTGGAGAGCCTGCTCAACTCGACGCGGCAAATGATTGAGCACTGCAATGAACGGCGACAGCGACGGCTGCAGCTGCAGCGAAACGAAGATCCAGTCCGCTTTGGCTTCACCGTCCTCTCCGATTGGGTTTGTCATTCATTTGAAAAGATTTTTTATTGGTTGATTCTAATTCTCTCAATTTCTTTCCTTTGCACTAGTCACTGGAGGAGATGCAGCAACTGTTGGGTTTTCACGAGCCGTCGAATCAGTTTTCCAGCAACAACAACAACAATGGCGGCCTTCGAGGAAAGCGACTGACCGGCAACGATCAGCAGTGCGTCGCCGACCGAAGCTCGGGCAGTCCGCCGAGGACGCACGACTGGCGTCGTCTGGGCATGGTCACCTCGGTGAAAAATTCACTACGTGAAAGCAAAAAGGCGGCCAACCGAACGGGTGTGTACACAACCACTGCCTCGCCCATGACCACTACGTCCTCATCAGGGAGATTCGGAAACAACAACAACAACAACTTCAACAATGATAACAACTACAACAACAACAACGGCAGACAAAGAAATGAAAACGATCGAAATAGAGACAACAATAACAACAACTACAACGACAATTCTCGGTACAACAGCAACAACAACAACAACGATAACAGCCGGAACAACAACAACGCCAACCCCAACCAAAACCAAGATCAGCAGAATGAGCAAGACCAGCAGCAGCGAGGCTGCGCCGCCGACTGGGCCTTCGCGGTGGCGGGCGCCATCGAGGGCGCCATGCTGGTCCGGCGACGGACGCTGCGCAGCAACGCCACGCTCAGCCTCAGCGAGCAGCAGCTGCTGAACTGCGCCGTGGAGGACGCCTGTCGGCAGGGCGGCGACGCCGGCACCGCCCTCTCCTACGTCAAGAACTACGGCCTGTCGGAGGAGAAGGCGGTCCCCTATGTGGGCGGCAACGGGCCGTGTCCGTACGCCGCCATCGACTACTTCTACCCGATTGACGAGTACTGCGTGCGCAGTCGCTTCCGCTACAGCTACCAGTCGCTGACGGAGCAGGTGGACGACGCGGAGATGCAGCGCATTCTCGTGCAGATGGGCCCGCTCTATGTGGTGGTCGATGGTCGGCCGGAGCTGTTTCGAAATTACCGCTCCGGGGTGGTCGATGAGAGCGAGGGCTGCAGCAATGGCGGACAGGTGAATCATGCCGTGCTGCTGGTCGGCTATACCGAGGATGCCTGGCTGCTGCGCGACAGCTACGGAAGACGCTGGGGCGAGGAGGGCTACTTCCGCCTGGCCAGGGGAAGGAATGTCTGCGGGGTGAACAGCGAGATTGCCTGGCCGCTTATCTAGCTGGCCGCTGGGAAAGAGGAGTTTAAAAATAATCGGGTACAGTAATCAATAAGCAGGGAATAAAGTATTGTCGAAATTGAACTATTAAGTGGTCGGTCCCTTTTTTTTAGCTCAGTTTCCTCTTTGTACACCAAAATATATGTTCTACGTTTTAACTTTCAGCCAACGACTTATGACTTTCTCGGTCAAGGTGTGTAAAGAGGTGTGCATGTGTCTACAAACACAGAAAAAGTCTTGACACAAAAAGCAGCGAGGTGCACAATGACTTGTGTGTTTTAATTTTTATTACCTTTTTCCGCAACTTTAGTCTCCTTCTCTTGAAATGACACGCTGAAACTTTTTTACTTGAGTCGTTTAAACTTTTTAATTTTAAAATTTAAATGCAAATGCTTTTAAAAAGTTAAAAAAAGGTAAAATAGAAAATGCGCGGGCTAATGATCGTGCGCTAATGACACTGCCACAGTGTCTTCTTCTTTTTCTTTTTTTCTGGCCCTTGTCATTGGCATTTATGACCGTACAATAAAAAGAAGAAATAACCAAAAAGGCAAAGATAAAAACTTGGAAAAGATGAGATTGTCAGTGGTGACAGAGGCAACGACAACGATCACGTCAATGCTTGCACTGACAACCATTTTGCCGTGCATATGTGTGTGCTTGTCTACAGGGTGATCACATCAGCGCACAGTTTAATGTTAGTACACCACCACCACCCGCAAAAGTGATCATCAGAGTAATTAACCACCACCACCATAACCATTACCATTACCACAAAGCGTCAGAGAGAAAGTGGCCAAACAGAACAAAAGAAGAAGAAGAAGAAGAAGAAGAGCAGAAGAACAAGCAAAACGATGTCAAAGCCGGCGTACAACAAACGGTCTGCGTGCAATATATAAAAGTGCTCCTGCTGCTGCCGCGGCTGAACTGGACTGGGAAAGGCAAATCGCCGACACCAGCCGGCACCAGACGGCTTTTTATTCATTTTCTCTTTTTCTCTCTCTCTCTCATCTTTACCAGCCTACCACCTGTGTGCCATCTTCAATCACTAGCCTGTGCTATATACTTCATCCTCCCACACACTGCTTTTCGGGTGCCAGCGTGTTCCAGCGAGTCGGCAGTCGCCGCATGGAACAGCACCAGTGATCAGCAGAGGCAGTGCTCGTTCTGGTTCACTCTCTCTCTCTCTCCCTTTTTTCTCTTGTATGCCCATTCCGTGCACGCTCGCTCGCTCGTTCACACTGTGCACACTGTGTGTTTGGCACAGTGACCGGGAATGAGTTCGGGAAGAGTGTTTTGAGTGCCCACTACTGCGTTCACTGTGTGCACGGCAACGATCAAGTGCAACGACGACAGCGGCGGCAGAACCTGAACACATGACCACCTGCCAGGGAAACGACAGAGCGACTACCCGATTTCCTCAGTACCCCAGCTACCGCCGTACAATAGGAGCCACCGAGTCTTTCTCTCTTTCAGTTTGCCACCGAGTCGGCCAATAAATCGATAAATCCGCATACAAACTCTAGCTCGCTCGTCCTCTCTGTTGCTGAAAGCACTCAAAAAGTCCTCATCAATGCCACTTTCACATTCACATATTGACTGACTGACTGTCCTCAGAGAGAGATTGACAGAACTACTGCTGTTGACAACTGCAAAACCTTTCTTATTAGAAACCCAAATCAGGTTACCCGAGCTGTGAAATTCTCTACTACTAATTTCGCCTTCCTGTCCTTCGCCCTTCTGTCCTTCTCCTTCTTCTGTGTTTCCAACCTTTTGTACCGCACATTTATCCTTCTATTTGCAAGAACAAACAAACACTGCCACCTCTGCACTCTCTTTCTATTTTTCTCTCTTCTCTGTCCACAATCTCTCTGAAGTAGTAGAAGGTGCCGAACGTGCCGTTCCGCCAGTGAATGCCATCCTCGTCCTCCTCTTCTCAAACACAACTTCTGTTTGACACTGTTTGTGTTTGTGTGTGTCCAGTGGTGGCAGTAAACAACAACAGCCCCGCAGGAAAAAGGAAACACTTGGTACCATATAATACCAATATTTAATAACAAATTACACTACAAACACTACATTATTGTTGTGATGTCTACGACGACTTGTACGACCCAACTGCTAAACAAACAGCCATCACTGAACACCGCCCCCACCACTGTCATTGAGTACTTTCACCACTACTATCACTATCAGCACTTTCATTATCTACTAGGTCAACTAAAGCCCAAATTTCTCATGAGTAGCTCAGGCATAGTGAATCTACCGAAGACAATCTTCACTCCCAATTCCTAGTATAGAATGCAAATGACGAAGTGCGGTGTGAATGGTGGTGGTCAGCAGGAGGGAAGTGGGGCTGATGGAGGTGAGGGAAGCGGTGGTGATGAGCCCAATTCAACGTCCTTTGAGGTGACTAATGGTGGCGGTCACCATCACCACCAACACTATCAACCCCATCACCTCTCGAACGGCTTCACCAACTTTGCCTACGATGACGTGCCGCTGAGTGATGATGTGGGGAAGATAGTGGTCGGCGGTGATGACTTCATTAAGGGCCAACTGGGCGAGGAGTTTGACGTGTCCACAATCCACAACGCCGTGCCCGAGTCGAGCAAGACCAATTACATTCAGACGTTGATGCACCTGCTCAATGGCTTCATCGGTTCAGGTAAACTATTGAATTTTTGCTTTCGTTTTAGATTTAGCAACTTTTTTGACAGCCTAAACCTTAAAATGCTCTATCTTTTCTTGGCAGGAATCCTGTCCATGCCAATGGCGTTCCGCGACGGCGGCATCATCCTCGCCACCATTCTCAATCCAATCATTGGGGTGATGAGCTGCTACTGCATCCACATGCTGCTGACCATCAATCGATGGGCAATGAAGGCGACAAATCGCAAGATGCCCTACGAATACCACGAGGCAAGTCTGAGCTTTGTTGGTAGTGGGATGATAATGACTAACAGCCCAGCTGCTGCAGTGTAACTTTTGTACACAATTTTACTGCAGTATAAAAAGGGGTCGTAAAAATGATGTCACGGTCTGACAGACACACACTTTACGGCCCGTTTTTACTGCTGATAAAGCACCTCACATGAAATTCAGGCTGTAAAGCAGTAAAACAATTATCATCTAATCTTATCATCTAACATCATCTTTTCTGTAGCTTGCCCTGTACGCCTTCTCTTTCGGGCCGAAGCCGCTGCGTCCCTGGGCCCGGACCGCCTCGCTGGTGGTCCTGAGCACGGTGATCGCCACCCAGATCGGCGGCTGCTGCGTCTACTTCACCTTCATCGCCACCAACCTGGAGAAGTTTCTCATCAATCGCATGGGCAAGGAGAACGCCCCCAAGAAGGAGATCTGCCTGCTGCTGGTGCTGCCCCTGGCCCTGGCCATCAACTGCATCCGCAACATCCGCCACCTGACCTTCTTCAGCACCGTGTCCAACTTCTTTCAGGTGGCCGGCCTGGGCATCATCTTCTACCATCTCTTTGACCAGCCGCTGAAAGACCCTTTCCGCTTGCCGGCTGTCGGTGACCTGGAGAAAATTCCCAAATTTTTCGTCAGCACGCTTTTCATCTTTGAGGGCATTTCAGTGGTGAGTGAAGGAAAGGATCATCAAAGTAGTCCTAAAACTAAAATCAAATGAACTTTTTATTTTATTAGTCAATGTCCCTCTACAAAGCGATTCGCGATCCTCGGCAGTTCCACCGTCCGCTGGGCGTCCTCAACGTCGGCCTGGCGATTATCATCGCCTTCTACTTTAGCATTGGTTTTTTCGGCTACGTCCAATTTGGGGCGGCCATTGCCGGGACGATCACCGTGAACCTGCCCGCCGAGCCGATGTACGACGCCGTACAGCTGCTGTACGCCTTTGCCGTCCTCCTCACTTATCCCATCATTCTCTACGTTCCCATTCAAGTCCTANGACGATCACCGTGAACCTGCCCGCCGAGCCGATGTACGACGCCGTACAGCTGCTGTACGCCTTTGCCGTCCTCCTCACTTACCCCATCATTCTCTACGTTCCCATTCAAGTCCTGTGGCCGATCATCCGACGGAAGGTGGCCCGAAGGCTGAAGGTAGCCGACAGTCAGAAGAAGGCGGACAACAGCTTTTCTGCCCGGGCGAAACTGATGACAGTGGAGTTTGCCTTTCGCGCCGCTCTGGTGCTTAGTACCTGTGAGTTTGTTGAGCTAATAAGTTTCTCAATTCGAAATACTGAACATTTGTTTTCTTTCGCCAGACATCCTCGCAGCAGTCATCCCCAAGTTAGAGTTGATCATCTCGCTAGTTGGCTCAGTCACCAGTAGCACCGTCACCATTACCATCCCGGCCATTCTCTACACGGTGGCCTTCTGGAATCAGGAAGGTAGAGGAACTTTAAATGGATTTTTTTCAAAATTTGAACAAAATGATTTAATTTTAAATTCAGGCCCTCTCGGAAAGTTTTTCCTCGTGCTGGTCAACGGAACGCTGCTGATCATCGGTCTCGGTGGCCTGGGCTTCGGCTTCTACTACAGCCTGCTGGACATCATCGACTCCTACAAGACGGGCACTCCTGACGATGACGTGGAGAAGGTGGCCCGACTGGTGCAGTCCGGTCTAATGCAGGGTATTCTCGGTCTGAACATGACCACTCAGGCCTCCTCCTCCTCCTCCTCCTTTCCCACCCACTTTCCCTAGTGACAATCTGCACACGGCGGCAATCTACTCTTTACCGGTGCGGTGATTCTTCTGCAGAAGCTTCTTCTTTTTTCTTCTTCCTCATCCTTCCTCGTCGTTGACAATGGTTTACCCCACTCATGATGATACTTTTATTTGGCCATTATTTATTGCTATGAACATTATTATACTCATTACCTCATGTTGCCTCTTTTTCTCCTTCCTTTCCTTCTCATTACATTTGAAGAAAAAACTTTATTGAAGTTACTTTATGAAGAACACAATTTTATTTTTTAGTTTTTTTTCTTTATAACTTTAACAAATAAAAGTTCTTTACACCCTCTTCATTGGCGGATCAGAGTTTGGAGAAACAGGAGAAATTGACGAAGAAGTGCTTGGTTGTACACTCATTTTCCTCGCATAAAAGTACACCAGAAAAGCGGTGATCGCAGCGGAAATGCCAAAGATTACGGCAATGGCAATAAAGACGGGCAGTCGAGACTTGCAGAGTGACTGGACGGCGGAGTAGTGCTCCAGCTCGGCCATACAGTTGGCTGCTGCTTTCAGTCTTTCAATGAGATGAAAGCGAATTTGAAGCTCTGCTAAGATTAGTGATGAGCTGCTGCTGCACTTCCGGCAAATGTACTCCGCCTGACAGCTGTACAGCTGCACGATGGAATCACAAGAAGATAAATCAGTGCCCGGATGCTCAATTGACACTCGGTACGAGCAGACGTCCAGCGTCAGCTGGAGGTACCTCTTTTCACAGGCACTTTCCGGTATTAAGGGGTCCTTATTAGCCGAGGCACGATTAAAGGTCTCTTGAATCAGGTTTTCATTGCAAGATGTGATGGTGAAAAACAAAGATGAAAGTATGAGAAGCGGTGAAAATAGGGTGTCGGCTAAAAACATCGTTTGTCGGTTGATGGTGAACAGTAGAACTGATCAGCAGAGGCAAACAGTTCATTTGAAATCATTTGCCATTTCACAAAAGTAAATCCCCAAACACAGGCACAAACAGTCAGCTTGACAACTAAAACAAACTAATTTGCATCTTCAGAAGAGATCAGCATCTTTTCAATGATGTGATTTTCAAAACAACTTTTTTTGCAGTAAGCAACATAAATAGGATTTTTGGAGCATTTCCAAAGGCGCAGCAGTGTACAGCAGCAGTGCAATGCAAATTTTATGCTTGAATATAAAAAGCAACTTAAAAATAGATTTTTATTCTCTCTTTTTAATCTGTGTCACTAGGCTAGTGTCAAGTAGTGGTGATGATGTGATAATGCTAATAAAGTCGTCAGAGAAAATACCCCGTAGTGCAATACTTTTTGTTCAATTAGTTAACCAGTAAAAACTAAAAAGATTTCATTTTGGCTCCAATTTAAATTTACAAAGTAGCAAAGAAGTTCATTAAAAATCATGTAGTTGTACAATGTTAACAATGAAAAACAAAGTAATTTGTCTTTTTAAATAAACATTTCATGTTAAATTTTTATGAGTTTAGTCAAGTTGAATACTTCTTCTCAATGACACTTGACAGTCTTTACTACTACGTGACATAACTACCGGTTTTTTAGAAACACTAAATAAATAAACTTCAACCGTACGGCAAGGTTAATTCATGTTCCTCTAATTGCAGAAAAAAACTAAAAAATACCAAACACAAGCAACCTCTCTGAGTGAAAGAACAGGACAAGGTGAAGAAAGAAAATAAAAATGAAGTCAACTCGTTTTTTACTGGATCAGCTGAAAGTGACCTTCCGCCAGTCAATTGTTTCATTCAGACGAGCAGTAGTTCCGGTGAAAGGCATCGACATGTACTTTCGCTACTTTTCCACCTGCACAAAGTTGACAGTGGAGAAGGATGCCACAGCCGTTTTTCAATTTAACCTGTACCTGCTGCTGCTCGCCTACACCTCACTTCTTTACCTCGCCTTTTACCTTCTTCCGATAAGTCCTTTTGTTCGGCTAGTGCTTGCCGACGCCTTGTTCATTCAGCAAACGGGTGGACAGTACTACCTGCTTTTTCTGGGCATCATCGGCTACACTGCCGACATTCACTGGGCAGTGTACCGGGGCTGTCACCGGAAACTGAACGCCATGATAAAGCGGGCTCTCAGTGGAAGCACTGCCGTACTGGTACAGTACCGCTGGAGAACGGTGGTCATCACCAATGGACTGCAGTTCTTCATTCTCTACCTCGATCTCAGTTTGATTGTCTTTATGGCCATTTTCGTCTTTAAACTGACGTCAACCATCACCAGCAGTGACTCTATCCTTTTACTGGTGGTCCTTTTTCCGGTCACTCTCTTTCATTTGCTGCTTTACGTTTTACTTTGGATCTCCTTCGGGCACACGCTGTGTTTTATGGCCACTTTCGGTTTTACCGCTCAGCTGTACGCCTTTACTTTCTTCCGGCAAAACCATGTCAAGTTAAGACAGACTCTAAAGATGGTCACCCGCAGACAGTACACTCGCCTGAAGAGCGCTCTTCGGCAAAACTTGCGCCTTTTTGAGGAGTTTTTCTTTTGCAACGCCTTCTTTGGCCCTATTTTAACCGTGTACCTGGCAATTCACCTACCTTCCTCGGCGTACTTTTTCATGGTCATTGCTTTTGGTCAGGTAGACGGCCTGATGCTTTTCATTCTTATTGGCCTAGTGGCAGAGACCGTTCTTGGAAGTTTGGTTGTCCATTTAATCTGTGCACACTTCTCCAGTTTTGTGCACAAAAGTGGTAAAGTGTTGCTTTCATTAAACGCTAAAAGCATAGTCAGCAAGTCAAAACCTTCTCTGAAGGTCAAACACAATTTGTACTGTCACATTCAGCGACTGGTGGTTCGAAAGAAATACGGCATAACATATTTTGGCAAGTAGAATCTAGAAGTTTGTAAAACACATGTTACTAAATACTTTTTTACAAAAAATTAGGTTTGGGGCTTATGTCGATGTCTTCCTTTTTAAAATTTGCCCTTTTCTACTCTGAATGCTTTTTCTACTCTTACACGTTAATTCGCAATCGTTGAAAAATTTTAGCATATTTTAATGTAATAAAAACAAATAATCAAATGTTGTTTTCATTGAAAAATCAAGCAACTGCAATAAAATGTAATTATTTATTCTGCAAGTTTCTCAACGCTGATTTTATAACTTATTTAAATATTTTTCTTAATTACTTCACTATTTATTTCACACAGTTTCCGTTTTAAGAATCACTGAATAAACTTTAGCAAAGTGACAAGTTTAGTTCGCATTCTTTATATTGCAAAAAGACTATAAAATGCCTGTTTTTCAAAATCACAAACAAACTTCTTAGCAGTTCACTAGTTCAAAATGATCTCTACTTTCTTTAAACTAGACCAACTAAAAAACGCTTATAAGCAGTTGACCGTCATTTTCATGCGAGTAGTAACTCCGGCAAAAAGCGTCGACTACTTTCAGCGCTATTTTGCCACTTGCACAAAGTTGACGGTTGAAAAGGAGACCAATGCCGTTTTTCAGTTTAATCTGTACCTCTTCCTGCTGGGCTACTGGACACTGGTGCAACTTGTTTTCATCCTTTTTCCGCTAAGTCCTGTTGTGCGGCTGCTCCTCTTTGACAGTGTTTTCATTCAGCAGTTAAACAATGTTCAGTTTTACCTGCTCTACATTGGCATTATCTCCTACACTGCCAACATTCACTGGGAAGTGTATCGNTAAAAACTAATCAAAAAAAATTTTTAGGATTTTTTGTACAGTTAAACTCCTTTTGACCGGAACCGGAAACCCAGAACCTGTTACAAATAAACCACAAATGCCATTTTACTCAGCTCAATTTTACCTTTCCAACGATACCAAATTCGGCGATGGTAACTTTTTTTGAGTTAAATCTGTACACCGTGTACCAAAGGAGAGTGGAAATAATTTTTAATGGAATGCAAATTTTCCTTCTTTTTCTGTATCCCTGTTTGATCGCTTTTTTAGGAACGTTTGTTTTGAAACTTATGACATGTGACTCTATTGTTTTAATGCTAGCTCTTTCTCCGGTCACTCTTTTTCATTTGCTGCTTTACAATTTGCAGTGGGTCTCTTTTGTGCAAACATTAATTTTAATGGGCACTTTTGGGATTATTTCCCAGCAGTACGCTTTTATTTTCTTTCGTCAAAACCACGTCAAACTAATTCGAATTCTAACGCTGGTCACTCGCAGTCGATATATTAGCCTGAAGTGTGCACTCCAACAAAATTTGCGTTTATTTGAGGAGTTCTTTATTGGCAACGCCTTTTTTGGACCAATGTTGACCGTGTACCTAGCCGTTCACCTGCCTGCATCGGCGTACTTTTCTACGGTGATTGCCTTTGGCCAGGTGGACGGTTTGATGCGCATGACCCTAATTGGACTGGTGATGGAAACCATTAACGGAAGTTTGTTTGTTCACTTAAGTGCCGCGTACTTTTCTAGTTATGTGCATAAAAGTGGAAAAGTTTTGCTTTCATTTAATGCCAAAGGCAGCGTCACCAAATCAAAGCTTCCAGTCCGATTCAAACTTATCCTTTTTTTCTTTCACATTCAAAGACTGGTGGTTCGAGAAAAATACGGCATTACTTATTCTATAGGCAAGTAGTGTCTAAATATTTGCATAATTTTTTTCTAAATACTTTTTTGTTTAAAAAACTTTAGGTTTGGGGTTGGTGTCAATGACATCTTTTCTAAAGGTGGGTAACTTTTTGTTTAGTGTTGAATCACTGTTCATACGATTTGATGCTAAAAACAGTTTTTTTATTTTTCAACACAGTGTGTTTTTATTTACCTTGAATGTTTCCTTTACTCTTACACGTTAATTCGTGGAATTTAAAATATAAAGTTAGATAAACTTAAATTTAAAATAATTGCTTTTTTTGTATAAAATTTTATTTGACGTAACTTTTTGGGCAAAATTTATTGACTGTCGTTAACTACAAAAATCAACA